TGGTTGACTTACACACCACATATCCTTCGGTCGCAGTGATCCTTAATTTATCTGGCTTCGGCATGTCTGCACTTTTCTGCTCAATACTACTCATTATTGGTGCACACACATGCAGTAACAGTGTACCGTGAAATATGTTTTTACGCTTATGGAGTGAACACAACTACAGAAGCCGAGCGAATTGACAAAAGTTGCAGTTTTGATAGATGCAAAGCATTTGACTCGGTAATGATACGCATGCAAGTAGAGCTTCTTTAATATTTTTACGCTTGCTATCCTCTGCTATGTGGTCTACCGGCAGAATATCAGTAAACGGGGTATGGAGTAAATACTCAGTGTAGTTGTTGCACTTCTTCGTTCATCCGCCCTCATCATCATCATCATCATCATACACGTTAGCTAGAGGTGGGAAACACCTCAGCTACTGTGTCGCGATACATAGAAAAAAGGAGAAAAAAAGCAACTGGTGCAAGCTGGCTGAGCTACCAGTAACGGATGCGCATCCTTCCGGTGAGCTACCAGCTGGCTGCTGTGCACCCAAAAAGAAAAAAATATGCAAGATTATATAAGGCTAAATAATGAGGTCGTGGTTGGAGGGGGAGGCTAAGAGGGATGGGGTGGGACAAAGAAACTCACAGCACGAACGCCACTGAGGTCGGCTCCTAGCCACATCAACAAGTGTGTCCAACCAAACGTGTTCATCGTCTTTCGGACCCCAACCAGGGAGCCGAGACACTCCAACCGAGGCCAGCTCAGAAGTGAGGGCCTTCATTCCTATGGACCAAGTCATCGTTTGGCCACCCCTCCTCTTCTTCCATCCACACCTCCGGCGCGCAAACAATATATGTCGCGGGAGTCGGTGGGTTGGCATGCGTAACACGTGGCCGAGCCATCGGAGCCTGATGCGTGAAATAACGGTGCTGAGCGGTTCATTTCCTTTTCCTGTGCCATAAACAAGGCGTCGAACACGCTCGTTGCTCACGCGGTGTTCCCACCAAATGTGAGCTAAATTACGAAGGCACCGGTGGTCGAACGTAACTAGCCTCTTCAGGGCCGCTGCTTTAAGCGGCCAGGATTCACAACCGTACAGTAGGGTCGAACGTACTGCTGCATTGTACACTCTACCCTTCAGGGCGAGAGTGATGTCGCGCCGACGCCATAAGTGGCGAAGGTTAGCAAAAGCGCCCCGAACTTTTGCCATACGATTCGTGATTTCATCTTCAATCTCACGGGCGCTGATACAACTTCCCAGGTAGTTGAATTTCCGAACGACTTCTAGCTGATCCCCACCAACGGTCAGCGTAGGAGGCGGTCCAGACCAATCTTGGAGAAACGCTTTGCACTTCGAGGGTGCGAAGCAAAGCCCGAAGTGACGGACAGCTAGTGCTAATCTGTCCAGTGCCGCTTTGCACGTTTGTGAGCTGTCACAGATGAGAGCAATATCATCAGCATACTCTAAATCAAGAAGTCGTTCTCCAGGGAGTAGCTCCACACCTTCTAAGTCGTGTCCTGTAAACGCGATTTCCATGACTTCGTCAACAGTGAAGTTGAAGAGGAAAGGTGACAGCGGGCATCCTTGTCTCACGCTGCTGGAGATATTAAAGGGCGACGACAACTTGGCGTAAGCCCTCACTCTGCCCGAGCTACGCGTATGTAATGCTCGAATAATATTCACATATTTCTCAGGTACACCTTTCCTGAGTAGACAGTCCCAAAGTGCATGTCTATCCACCGAATCGAATGCACCTTTGATATCGAGGCACACGATAACGGTGGGCAGGCAATATATGTGACGGTGCTCCAACAACTGACGCAAAGTGAAGATGTGGTCAATGCAGCTACGACCTCGACGAAATCCAGCTTGCTCTTCACGAATCTGGCTTTCACGAGTGCCAGTCAGTCTGTGAAGGATGACAGAGGCAAGCAATTTGGAGGCGATGGCGATCAGACTGATTCCTCTATGGCTGCCGCATTCCGATCGTGAGCCTCCTTTAAAATTGGGACTATGATGGAGCGGCTCCAATCGGTTGGGACAGTCTCCTGCTCCCACAGTCTCACTAGGAACTCGTGTAAATCATCCACAAGAGCAGGTCCCCCGATTTTGTAGAGGGCTGGGGGCAGATCAACAGGTCCCGCGACTTTGTTCAACTTCAACAGTCCGATCTCATGTTCGACTTCTGAGCGAGAGCGTGGATCCAAAAGAACAGCCCGCGGAGCGGGGCGATCAGTAGTCGGCGAGAAATATAACAATTCCGATCGATTAAATTGCATTTCAAAGTGCTCAGCCCAACGTTCCAGGCGTTTTGATAAGTTGTGGATAGGCTATCCACTGTCGTCACGTATAGTTTCACTAACACCAGGTCTCCTGCTGCCGGTTTCCTGGATAAGACGGAATAACTCACGATGGTTACCAAGGGCAGCAGCCATTTCCATCTCTGATGCACGATGGGACCACCAGGATTCGCGGTCTCTCTTCAGGCTAGCACGGAGTTCTGCCCGGAGCTCTTTGCGAGTTTCACTGGGTTCGCTTCCAGCCGGAATATGCCGGCGAGCATCTATAAGTTCCAGGGACTGTGAAGAAACCCAATGTTCATGTTGGCGATTAGACATACCACATGAGGATTTGCCTGTTGCATATGAGACCAGTGAGCTTCAATTGCATCCAGTGAGCGTTTATGCAGCTCGGATGACAGCGTAATTTGATAGGCATTCAGAACAGCTGGCTTCACCAGTCTGCCGGTGTCAATGCGCTCACAACATCGTCGCGGGCGTTCGCTAAAGCGCATCCGCAGGTCAGCACATACAAGTGCATGATCTGTGTCAACATCTGTGCTCCAAATCGAGCGACAGTTTCTGGATGCAGCCTCTCCAGCCGTAACTGATAGCAATGTGGTCGATTTGCGTCGATAACTGGTTCGAGGCTGGTGGGCGCCAAGTCACCCTTCGGCGGCTGCTGTGTCGGAAATTAGTACTCGCAAGAAATAAGCGAGCATCCTCACACAAATGAAGTAACCGCTCACCGTTATCATTACGGGAGCCTATACCATGTTGGCCGCCCAGATGCAGCTCATCTGTGGATAATTTTCCAACTTGAGCGTTCAGATCCCCAGCCAGCACTACAGTGTCCGAGCTTCTTCTATGGCGAAGGAGTTCGTTCAGTTGGCGATAGAAGTCGTCTTTTACCGAGTCATCGCTACAGTTTGTCGGTGCATAGGCAGCGATAACGAATAGACACCTGTTAGTCCCACGCAACTTCGAAGTTTTGAATGAGCCAGCCAATCGGACCGCACACATCCGGCTACTGATTGGAATCCAATCACTCAGAGCAGCTTCGGCCTGGGGACTCAGGGCAATACCAACACCGGCTTGGCCGGTGCTCGAAGCTGCATCGTCACCGGATAGGCGCAATGAGAAAGTGCTGCTAGTGTCACCTGAAGGGGATCGCAGAGTGAGTACAGAGCTCGAGTCTTGCAGGCGGGTCTCCGATAAGCAGCAGATATTGATTGAGAGGGTCTCTAATGTTCGGGCAAGGGCTGCCTGTTGACCGATCTGTAGCAATGTGCGTACATTGAGGCATGCCAGTCTGAAGGAGGATCGAGGGCTCCAAATGGAAGCCGATGAACTGGAATGGACTGCGTGTTTGGACATGGGTCTGTTGACTGTGCAGGAATGACGCTCTGCGTTCGCCTGTGAGTTGAAACTAAAAGACAAGCGACTATTGAAGCAAGGTGGGGGAGGGCCGAGAATTGGGGGGTTGAAAACAGGGGGGATAAAAGTGAAGCTGGAACGGGACGATAGGGGTGAAAAGTGCTTGAGCAGTAGCATACAAACCCCTATCCACGCTGCTCGATGCAGCAGATAAGGCACCGTTGATTATCCTCTGCGGTGGCCAGAGCATCATAAATTTGTTTGAAGTGAGCTTCATTGTATTGCGTGGGCAGGATACTGTCAGGTTGCCCAGGCCTAGACAGGAGAACGACTAGGGTTCTCAACCAAAGCCTTTGGTTCAAAAACCTGACCGCAAGGCAGCGGGTTTGGCATTGGGCTACAAAGAGACCGTTTTAAGGAATTAGGAGCCACCCTCATTGCAACCCCCAACCTGGAGGACCAGGAGGCTGAGTTTGTCTGGCTTCTAACCATTGATCAATCTGGTATGAGTGACTCTGAAGGTGCAAAAGCACCACCCAGTATAGCTCAATGGATCACTGAGGCACACAAACCATCGCACCACGGTAAGGTCCAGCCTCATTGCGCCCTCATGCATGCAGTAAATAAAACAATGTAATTGCGAATGTGCAAGACTTGAGGCAGGGTGTTGTTGATGGTGATGTTGATGTGTAATTCAGGTTTTTTGCGGTTATCTGCCGTGTAGCAGACAAACTCAGATGAAATCACAATTATTGTCCTGAAATAAGTCATTTGGCTCAACCCCGATACCCAAGCCTCCGGGAGTTTGACAGCTGGTTGCAGATTCACCAACATGCAACTGTGCATCACGCCGGTTGCGACCTTCATACTTGTGAACTACCGTTATGCGTTTTTTTACTTCAGTCATTGACTAGTCTTGTAGAAGTAGCTCAGAAGATGCCTTTAAACGTTAAGCAGTAATGCTCGGCGGGTCAGAAATGTATGCAAACGGCTGCACTTTGTTACGGTTTATATCTGCTGGTAGAGAACCTGATGTTAACTAAGAGAACGGAACTCGTTAACTACCACTTTCTATACTCTGTTGGAAAGGTTCCTGTTCACACTTAAAAAACACACTAAACCAATATATTTCCCAGCTGGCTTCTGAGAATCAAATTATTTGCGTGCATTTCACCTATTAGAAATTAAAGCTGACAGGCTAGCCGAGAAGTTCACTTGGCTTCCGGTGAACATTTAGGATTTTTCCTACGTATATTTACACTACGTCATTGGTCAGCAGGTAATCTAAAAATCTAGCTTTCCACATTTACGGCTGTTGACAGCTTGTCGCAATTTCTTCGAAAACAATTTAGATTGGTTTGTGTCTTTGCCTTCGTCAACTTCATTGGATCGATGAACTGAAATCTGAGGATTTCTTTCCTAGATGCTACGTCATCAGCGACCCTGAGGACAGACAGGCCTTCCTAGGTAGGTTTTATCGCTGTCGTATAGATATTTTCACAGTAAATAGACGCACACATCCGGTTGTTCCTTAATTTATCATGGAGCTTGTCTCCTTGATGTGATGCTAATGGAGTTACAATCCATTTAGAGCTCGAGTTTTCCAGGTCAAAACGTCTCAAGATATCTGGATTCACCCAGAATCTTTCCGTCGCCTATATCTTACTCTAGTTATATGACCCGGAACATTGATATTTGCTCTCATGAATCGATTCATAATGTCATTAGTGGTTGTGTGCATAACTGATTCAGGATGGATAAACTGCCGATGCTTGAATTGGTCTCTTTCAGTGAATGCTATCTCTCAGTGTCGAACGACGTTTGGTTATTACTTCCGTAGACCATGTAGATTTTTTTCCTGCCAATGCTACTACCCACAATATCTACCGTTTCAATGTTGTTACTTGAAGTAATGTCGCTTGCAGGACCTGGCCTTCATGTGTACAGCTGTGAGATGGTGAAGCGCCCCTGTGATAAAATCAAGTGTGCTACCGGAAAATAACTAACTGAACCGTGACATTTGGGGTGCACGCTTCCTCAGAAGTCCGGTGATGAACCCTTGAAAACAATTGTCTGTTAGCCTCATGTTCTCAAGTATGTGAACCGACAATATGTTTAGTTTCTATGGTTTGCACTTCTATGGTATCCAATTTCGCGAAGCAATTTGCAACCATGCCAAGCTAAGCCAGAAGCTTCTGGACGGAATGTCCTAAAGGGCCCATGAGCTCCACTGCGTACGAATGTTGTACAAGCTTCTCAATCTCGTTAGCAACTGCTTGTGTACCTTTCTGGTGCACACTGTGTCAGCTATCACATGGTGTTGTCATGTCCTTGAGAGCTGTAACACGATGACTCCTGCTTAGTGGGAAAGTATGTTCGGGCACAGTGTGTAAGTCCCAAGTACCATTCTCACATTTCAAGATTACTTCTCCGACTCAACCCACAAAATGCCATGTGGGGTACATCTGTGCATTTCCCATTGTTGACCAGCTACAGTCTCCTTTGACGTATCCAATCGGTGATCTCGTGGCTGCTGTAGTCTATAAGTGTAAGCAAGTGATAACATCACACATAATTGCCTCAGAAGTACGTGAGGAGCATGCATGGATTTTGCATGCCTATCAAGTTCTCTCAAAAACCTTAGACAAGACTTGCTCTGTTAGAGTCCTTCCTGGAGCAATAATCCAAAAAGCCGCTGACATAATGCGGTCGAATCACTTTTGTTTATTATCTGAAGCTTACACGCGCCATTAATTGACCAGTGACACTGAGTTTGTTTCCATTTCCAACGCCTTGATTAATAAAATACGTTCAGTGGCTAGCATGCGCCTAAGGTCAATTGGGTAAGTGTGTCAATCGAACCGTTGCCGCCTTCCTCAAAATGCTGCTCCTACTAATGCTCTTCTACGTCCTCAAAATTATATCTATTTCCTCTCACCAATATCCCCAATGGGACATTTTACCACAGGGTATGGAACCGGCGGAGTTACTTAACGTGGCTTCAATCATTCATTTAGAATAAGAAGGAATAACTTTCAATTTTCTACCTATGTCGGAAATTTTCGCTTATTTATACTTTGTTTATTCACCTTTTACCGTCGACCGATTAGTACTGAGACGCTTCTTTTCAGATGAGTTTCGACTAACGGCGTGCACATCCCTACTGAAGCTGCTGTGTTTGCCCGGCGACCAGGAGTCCCGATCGGATGCTACCGACCAGGTGACACCTAACACTGCGTACACTGAGGGCTCGGTTAAATCGCCATCGTTCGATGGTTGCCATACAACTCACCACAATGAAGTTCCCTGTTCGAGCGATAGACACAATATCCGCAATGCATTGGCACATAAAGGTAAACACGCGCGTTCATTGAGTTCATAATTGTACACCAGACGTATTAAGAGCCGACGATCTGATATTGCAAGTACATTGATTTGACTAGGTCCATAAACTTGCTTCCTCTCAAAGGAAAAACGATCAGACGTAGTGAACGGCATACGAAGGTGCTGTTGCCTTCCGAGCTGTACTTTATACATAAGGTAACGGGCCAATGGTATGCTCGATAAGAAGCAAACCCCTTAGGAAGATCTAACTTTTAGTTAACTGGCTTATTCCGTTATGGCATGCTATCACTTCACCCTACCCACGCAAACAAGCAACATACTCTGAGGTACGGGCTGTAAAAAACGGCAACAAAAGCATCCCTCTCATGATAGTGATGGCTGCGCTGTTCCAGCGGAAGGGCGCAAATCATCTGTGTAAGTGCGGCCATATGAGCCTAAAGTATTAGCCCTCTTCTGAAAACTCCTTTTGCGAGTGTTGAATGAAAATGAGTACAGTACTGCACCCAACCAATGATTTAAGGGGAATAGCTTACTATTTACAAATGGTCATGAATCACAATACTGGTTTTTTTTCTGGTTACCCAAATGTATTTGGTCCTACTTGAGAATAAAGGCTAGCGTTTCTGTAGGGTATCGAACCACACGTAAAAGCTGCTGGTTAGCCGCTGCTAGTTAATTGTGGCCTATATGAATGGTTCAATAATTTTAATCCCTTTATAGCTCGAGTTTGCCAACTCAGACCATCTCAAGATATCCGGATACACCCAGAATCTTTCCATCGCCTATATCTTAATTTAGTTATATGACCCGGAACATTAATATTTGCTCTCATGAATCGGTTCATAATGTCACTAGTGCTTGTGTGTATAACAGATTCCGGATGGATAAACTGTCGATGATTGAATTGGTCTCTTTCAGCGCTACATTCATTTCTGTAGTTTGGTTACAGTGAATACTATCTCTCAGTTTCGACCGATGTTTGGTTATTACTTCCGTACACCAAATAGATTTTTTCCTGTCAATGCTAGTACCCACGATTTCCATCGTCTCAATGTTGTTACTCGAAGTAATATCGCTTGCAGGACTTGGTTTTCATGTGTACGGCTGTGAGATAGTGAAGCGCCCCTGTGATAAAATCAAGAGGGCTATCAGAAAATAACTAACTTGCCAAATGAATTATGTGCGCAAATTTTGATTTGAAGCACCCGCTGTGTGGTTGGATTGCGATACGTAATCTATATTCAGACCTTGGTTCGCTTTGAAGTGAACCTCGGTCATTCCGATCACAAGGATCATATCCGAATTGCAGGTGGTTCGGTCTTGCTCCTCCCTACACTGTATGTTGTTGAACTGCATGTTAGGCAGTTATATCGTCCTTGGGGAACATGGAACCTGAAACAGGATAGCTGAAAATCGTTAAGTTAACCACTAAATCTTGATATTAGTGGGCGGATCCCATCGGTCCTCTGGTTGAAGGGTTTTGTTAAACGATTTTAGGTAGACTTCAGTAGCAATTTTTATTCCATCAAATGTTATCAGCTAGTCTACAATGCATACACACTAAAACGATACCTGTCTTGTAATGCGTACTATTGGCCGGTCCTTTACCAGAGTGGTCCAAAATCATAGTCAACAAAAAACTGGAACAAAATAACGCTACTTTTTCAACTTTTGGAACCATTCCAAAAGTGAACACTTGAAGTGTATTGCAGAGACACGAACTACTCGGAACGTGATTTCGTATGACAGGATGAGCGAAAAGCAAATGCAATTTTGTCCCTGGGTGTCGGACTAGTAGTACAACAGTTAACGACGCCACGATACGGGTGCGATAAGCCAGCCCGTCCGACATTAGAATGCACACGTTTAAGCAAACGACTGTAAGGATATGAAAAGTTGAGCGTGCACACATTTGTAGAGATGTTAGGCACAATCAAGCGAATAGGGAAGTCATGGTAGCCGGATCCAGCTTCCTTCAGTGCTAGGAATATATTTGCCTTACTTCAAATAGCTGGAGCAGAGCATATCCCTTTCCTCTTATGCGTAGTCTCCGGTTCAAGAGACGGGATTTAACGTTGACAGCCTCAAATTCTAGAATTAGTGATCTGGAGTGTATGTCCTGTTTGGATTTACAATCGGTACCGTAAATGTTGTCCCACTCGAGTAGCGATAAAGAAGCAACTATGGGTAGCCCAGGTTGTTCATTTGGTGATCGGAGCGTCCACCATGCATGGCCATTTTGCTGCAGCTCTTTACTTCCCAATTGAGGTAACATCCTCAGTGCGCTATTATGTGGCAGAGCGGAGCGCCGCGATGCAAAACGTCAGTGAGCGTGAGTGCTCGATCGTCGAGGCCATGGGTCACCAAACGTTCTTCCACAGTGAACCAGATGAGTAGAAAAAGTGACTAGCGCTGGTCGAATAACTCACGAACTGATTAGTGATGGCAGCATAACGATTATGCGCAGTAATTGCAAGATAGAACAAAAACTGAGCAAATAATACCAAGACGCGACCCTAAGTGTCCGCTTTTTCGTCTTAGTAACCATCATAAAGGCTAAACTGAGAGTAACTGATTTACAAACACAACAAAAATCCCATAGAAACAATGGACAACTAGTGGTCATTCTCGGAACTATGACCCACAAGTAGTACACGTGAAGTGTATTGCCATCTTCGGTGCTAGTATATATATATATATATATATATATATATATATATATATTTGATTAGAGATAGTTCATCACGGTCCACTCTCAGTCAGCAGACTTTGGCTAGTCTGGAAAAGCCCCAGCTACCGGTGTTTCGACCTTATGGGCCTAGTCAGTGGTGCGCCATCCAGCGGACCCATGCTGGGTTCCGCCCCCCATTATTTCCGGATGCCAGCAGCTTGTGTCACTTCACCATTGGTGACAGCCGCGGACCTGCATGATTGACAGTTGGCTGTGCCATAGCCCAGTCCATATGGGAGCAACTGTTGTCATCCGCACAGTTCGTAACTGGCATGACAATAGAAGCTGGGCCATGGCGAAGTGACACAAGCTGCTAGCATCCGGAAGTCATTGGGGGCGGAACACGGTAGGGGTCCGCTGGAAGGCGCATCACTCACGAGACCCATAAGGTCGAAACACCGGTCTCTGGCGCTTTTTCCGACTAGCCCAAGCCCGCTGTGTGACCGTGATGAACTACCTCTACTCATACCAACTCCTTACTACTCATTAGTAATCTATTTGTTTAAACAAAAGCGCTCTTACGACGTGCAAAGCTCCACCTGTGTCAAATCAACAAACAACGCTGAATCTGGGTAAGGATACTACTTTATGCATTTGGCAAGACCAATAAGTACGATTCTCAAAAAGGTGCGCTCCCACTGCAGTTCCGTACTAAAATTGAAATTCATACCAGAGCTAACAAATGTCTTCAGAATGACCTACATATACTGATGGCACTCTTTCTGCGGCGTTTTAATTGATGCATGCATCAAGGGAATTGACCAAAAGAAAATTGCGGTACGGTGGTTTGACTTAACAGAAGCACGGTATGTTACGTGGAGCAACAGGTTTCATACGTGCTCACTCACAACAATATACCAGCGATGTAAAGTCAATAATAGTACAATAATACGGTGTCACATATAACAGTCATGAGCTGGCTTACGGTCGTCTCAAACAGTATAAGTTCACGTACAACACCACATGCCGAGCCAAATGTAACTTAATAAAACTTTTCGGGAATTCGGATGCAATGGGCTGGCCGGATGAACTGACTTCACGGGCCGTAATTTTGTGACCCCCAGTCTAGACGGGCAAGCCGTAATTCTGAGTTTGGTTTGTTCGACTGGCACATGATCATCAAAATCGATATCTCTGATTCGTACCGCGTGTCGTTAGCACGTGTACCTCTGCGGTAAACGTAGTCATCTGACGCGTTTACCCGGCATTCGGTTTCGTTAGCTTTGCTTGATTAAGTTAGTGATGTTTTTTTATTCTAGCGCAACCCCTTTGACATCTAGTTCAATGCGTCGGTTTACTGAAGTGCCTGTAGAATACCATGCTTCCAAGTGGTCGTTAGTTTGCGTCGAATTGCCACGGGCTACATTGTATTTTCAGCTTCAAATGAGGACCTATCATATTGGTGTCCTGGTTCAGTTCCAGCACCGGACGGAAAACGCTGTTTCGGATCTTCAGGAAAAGATAAACCATAGTGTGTTCCTCCTGCAAGCGCCGACATCGACCACTATACATTCCTAGAGACTCCAACCTAAGCTCGTATGCCAGATGGTACAAACGTAACATCATGGTTACATAGCTGGTTGTTTGTACCTAAATCTAGGAGCCCAGATTTGACCCTAGAGATGGTCATGTGGTCATGTGCCCGGAGAACAATCCAAACTCGGACTCACGGCTCGTCCGTTTAGACAATGGATCACTCACACTGACGGACTATTCTCCTCGCGCCGCTTTATTCCGCTACGTAATAGTGCGCTGATGATATCACTTCGAGTAGTGACAAAACGTCTGCAGCAAAACTGCCGAACTCAGCGTAGACTCCGACCACCACCAGACTAGTATAACATTTGTCCACTAGCATTGTTCTCGAAACAGATTTCAGTGTGCTGATCCAGTGAGACCTCTGATGCTAGGTGCAACCTGAAATAACATGAATGAGGCATCCATGAAGTAGGGCTCTTGCGGAGAGCTTTCGCTCGCTTTGACTTCTCAAGTTTTTCCTAACCGTTCTCTACCTGCGCACGTCATCAATTGCAATATGCAAGTTAGGCCGGCAAAACAGGGTAGAAAGGAGATCGCACCATCTCGGAGATTCCGCGACGTCGAGCGTCCAAAAGCGTCAGGGAGCAATACCACCCGTCATAGGAACAGCAACTGAGTAATCTAGTAGTTTTCATCGGACGCTACCAGCCTTTGCATGGTGACCTTATCATGGTTTACTAGATTTTCAGTAACCCTAGTCACTTGCGCTATCAAGAACAAAGGTGTCGTAGCAGTAGACTTGGATGTCATCGTCACAAACGGATAATGCAATAGAGTTGACTGCAGTGTGGACAGAATTCCATCTTCCCTCCTGTCTGTCATACATAGAGTTCCCTCCGAGAAGCTGTTAGTTCAGCCACAGTAGCAGCATTGTTTAAATATCACCACATCATTTAACACGTGTGATCTAATAAAACAACTGAAAATAAAAACGTCAAACTACGTGAATTTTGCTGAAAATGCCAAAGGCAGTAGCTTGACAAATTGCTAATACCCATATGTAAACCATTCAGATGGACAAAAGTTTGCTCTTTAAGTTCGTCATTGATGGTTGTCTAAGTTTTATTTCTTTTTTCTTTCGGAACCCCTAACCGATAATCCGGCATAACATGTTAAGCTTCGACTTTTTAGCTGCACCTTGTCATTGTCCATCGACCATTTGGTTCTGCTCCTAATGTTTTGGACATGTCCCTCAAGTGAAGTTAACCTAAGATTGACAGGCCCACCAATGTTCATTTCGCTCATTTGAAAGTAATATTGGTGGAAGAGTAGAATCATCCGTGCATGTGTAAACTGAGAGTCCGAAGTTTTTGTGTCTAGAGGCAGGAAGAGCACTATCTGTCAAAAAAGAGTTCTGGTCCCAACAGCCTTTACTGATGCTACGTTTACAAATTGAAACATTGAAGGGAATTGCTTTTTTACATAGTGTAAGAACCCGTGGTGCAGGCAGAATTGTTTGTTGTTATAAACATGGCTTATACTAAGTGCATCGGTTCTAACAAACACAGCATCCACCCATTTTCGCACTCATTGTTTGGGTTTCATGGCGCGGGTTTCTTTCCGCGTCTAATAGTTGTGTGGTTTGTATATCTTATACATGCATTCCTTGTGCGCAAGCAACTGCTGTTCCAGTGTTTCTTTCCTTGGGGGAGTCATTACGGCCTGTTGTTGGCTGGTTGCTGTTTCACATCCTGGCACCTCCATACCACTAACTGACGCAATAGTGTCTGTCTTTAATCCACCAACATACGAGTACCGTGCTCCAGTTCTAGCGTCTCTGAAGCATACCGTTCAGCAGTCACACAAATCCGATTGTCTGTGTGGTATGGAACGTTAAATCTTTACCTCCAGCTAGCATCATTCGAAGAATGGTTGGTATCCGTGACCGCCAGGTGCAAATAGATGGCCGCGCTTCAGTAACAGTCATGCTTGCTTTGTGACACTAATTCAGTCTTTATGAAACGAACTATCTCAATCGGTTGTCTTGCAGAGTCCATTTTTAATTTCATAGTCAGCACATTCGACCATTCCTTTTTTCAGACACAAACATAAACAGGCTATATCGTGATGGACTGCTCATGCTCTGGGCATTTAAACGCAGTTTCTGTACTTTGTGTGAATAGACTGCCCCTGGTTTCTTCTGCTAAACTATAAGATCACCGTTATTGTACTTCTTGCCCGCCCACTACCCGATCACCTGAGGCGAGGCACAGAATATCGAATGGGTCCAACATTTTGATACAAGGCTCAGCTCCTTTTTACGGGGCCTGCCGTACCATGACAGGTGTAAAAGAGTAGAATCGTACACCCAGTCCCATCGTCACACGCAAATCCATCTCATCATGTGTCACCGTGTTTTACATCCCACTGCCTTCCACGTGATTTGACCGGTGCACTAATTGCCAACGTTATGCTACACAGGCGAACCCTGGTATAAAACCATAGTGTTGGATCTGAAGCCAGTTTCTCACTCTCCATACTTCGAACGGGAAGTGATCAAGGTGTGGAACAGTCTTCCAGAACATTTAGTTGCGGACAAATCTTTGCAGCAGTTAGAAAATTGCTGGATTTGCACATCACCTTTATTTGATTTAGACGTCGATTACCCATTGGTGATAGCATCTTACGTTTGCGACCCCTGTGTCACTGTGATTTCGACATTTTTGACCCCTGCTTGAGGACTTGAAGAACGAGTACAGCTATTTCTGAAGATGTCACATGGAGAACCAAACAGACAGCCACCACAAACCTAGGAAAGAGCTAGACGGCCGTTTCATCCTATTCGGACTCGTCAGTAGTGAGCACCCGCAAAATTCTGCATAGGCCGTTGGCTCGCAATAGTGAAGTCGTGGGTTCAAATCCGGTCGAATTCGGCGGGTGCGCGCTACTGACGAGTCACGACAGAACGAACCGGCCGTCTGGCACTTTCCTGGATGTGTACTGGATGCCTGCCTGAGTAGAACTGCGACGAATCTGCACAAAAACAGAATAAACCCCTTACTACTTTCTAATGAGTACAGCGTTAACGGGCAACAGAAACCTTTTTAACATTTTTATCATGTTTCGATGAATTTCTCCAAATACAACAGACTAGTTTCGCCTATAATAATATTCCGTAAGTTTAACAGCATTTTAACCACGCCGCTATGGTAATATTGGAGCTACCTAAGATATGCACATAGTTATGCATGGAGCTTGCATTGGCCATTTGCCCAACAAGAGTATAAGTTTGGAAACATTATAGTGTTGCTCACCCCAACACTGGCACCCGAAGACCGCGGTTTCGTCCTGGTTGGGACTCATCAGTTCGAGATAGCCTGAGTTGGGCCGGAACTCAGAGTCTAGTGGCTCATGGTTGACACCATAAGCACTATGCCACTGAGATCCACGAGCAACGCTTGGTCCAGCGAGAATGAATGCAAAGTTGGACTTGGAGGCTCCGCTGGTGGTTGGGTTGCTACAAGCAACCTCTATTGAGTATAAGTTTTTCGCGGGCAGCAGTATAATTCCGCCACTGAAAGCTCAAACACACTCGGTCTGCTGTCTAATGGGAAGTGTCATTAATGGAACAATAGAACAATGGATTTATGCGGGTATAAAAGCTAAAGCTTGACAAATCCCGTAGGTTGATCATGCGAAAATCATAGAAGTGTGAAAAATTCAATGGAAACCAATTCAGTAAAATCGTTTAACAACGAGTCACTACAAGCTTGCGGACTCACCGAGTTTGAAGTGTCAAAATAATAATCCACTATAACTCCGGAGGGGGTCATGAGGTATGGAGTATTTGGTTAAAAGAGTCACCGCCCCTTGAAATTCGCATGGGGCAAAGTGTTTGAGTTTGAAGCGTCAAAATATAAATATAAATTCACTGTTGAAAGTTGCGTGGGAGAAAATTATTTTTAAAGTATGGATTTTGGATCTCTCAAAATTAGACTGTACTATGGGAGATAGTGCAATGAAGTGAGTGCACTATCAACTCGATTTTTGAACTCGATCAGGTTGGGTGCACTGACTACAGATTCTGGGGGAGCATTCCAGGCTTGGCAAACACGCACGGAAAAGAAATTCCGTCGACATTCCAAACGGCTGTACTGCACTGCCAGCTTCAGATGATGGCCTCTCAGATTGTTGTTGTTACTGAGCTCCAGCAGATGGTGGCAGGTATGATTGGGGTCTGTCAGAATCTGATAAGCCAAAATCAAATCTCCCCGTAGTCGTCGATATTGCCCACTAGATATCCCGAGCAATCTCAGTCTGTCTTCGTAGCGTTACTGGCCTAAACCTTTCACGTTCTTCGTTGCGCGTCGTTGAGGCTTCTCTAAATCAGAGAGGTCTTTCCTCAGCCACGGCTGCCAGACTTGTATTGCATACTCCACGTGTGGTCGTATGTATGCACCTAGAAGTTGGTGAAAAACGGATGGATCGAAGCGTCCAAATGTGCGCCGGAGAAGGCCCAAATTCCGAATCCTCGCGTTCGATGGTTTTTATTTGCCTGGGCTGAACAACCAAGGTCGGACTGAATCAAGACTCCTAAATCCTTTTCCTCAGCAGTTGTGTGAAGCACATGGTCACCCAGTTTAAAGAAAAATGCTGATTGGTGACGTAAGGGTAATACTCTGCACTTTTCTGTGTTGAGTGGGAGTTGGTTCTGAACTGACCACGCATACACCTTATCCAGATCCACTTGAAGTATTGCGGAGTCGTCTGGTGTATTGATCGCTCTCCAGACCTTGATGTCGTCGGCATAGAGTAGGCAGTTGGAAAGTATGAGGGCCGCCATGTCGTCAATATACATCAAAAACAATCGTGGCCCCAGTACCGATCCTTGTGGTACACCACATTCGACTTGGATTGGGTGGGACAGGGACCCACGCACTTTTACCTCTAAGCTCCGTTGGAGAGGAAAGCTTGTGATCCATCCTAGGAGCGGATCACCAATGCCGAAGCTCTGAAGTTTGCAGATCAGGATTCCATGGTCTAGTCCATCGAAGGTCTTTGAGAAATCTAGGTAGACCACGTCCACTCCTGCACCGCTGTCAATTAATTTGGTCCAACTCGATCTTGCTAGCAGCAGATTTGTGGTGCACGATCGATTCCGTCGAAAACCATGCTGTTCATGTGCAAGGACGGCAGACTCTTCTAGATAGGCTGTTAATACGTCAGCAACAATAGCTTCTATAACCTTTGACAGGACCGGGAGAAGGGTTACAGGACGGTAGTTGACTGGATCAGAACGGCTACCGCCCTTGTGAATTGGGGTTATGATCCCACATTTCCACATCTCGGGTACATACATCTGATCGAAGCAGCGTTGGAAGAATCGTGCCAGAGGCTCTGCTAAACTTTCTCCCATTACCGCAAGGGACTTAGGGTGAATGTACTTCCTAAACTTTGATGGATGAGATATGCCTTACCACCCTAAGTAAGTACGTACGTGCTGTTCAACGACCTTGTGGTTGCGAAGGTTATGATCATGTGCTGTAACTTAGAGGCTCTTTCCCGTTTATATTTTATTCAACAACTCTTTCATTTGGTTACATCAACTCAGATGAAAAGTCATGAGCTTCAAAAGTTCAACTGTGACCGTTTTTCAATTTCGACAATTTGTGCTAGAAGTAATTCGCACTATTTGGTATTGCTCAGATGTGCAGGTTCCGAATTAATTTGAGACAAATAGTACCCATTTTCATATCTTCACCTTCAGACTGGAATGGACGGACTGCGCCCACTACATTTATTCTCCCGCCGTGTCCGGCAGATGATCCAGACGAAGATCTGCCAAGTGTTGTGCTGGAAATGGCCATCGTTCGTTGTCTTGACTTCATCCACTGGAGAAGGCATCAGGATATTGATCACTCCCCTGCGGTCAGTTCCAGTGTACCCGTACTTACCGGTCGCGCACACACACGACCTCGCGGTTGCGTAGCTGATTGCTTACACCTTCATCTAGGAGCCCAGATTTGACGCTAGGCAATATGATTGCATCATCCCTAAATAGGCTCAGTGTGTGGTCATACTGTTGGCAGTTATATCTGTACTACATCACAGATAGGTTTATGATATAATTTAAAGTACAGTTCCACATTATGTTCCCACCGCCAATTACAAAAACGTTTGCTCCATTCACCAGGACTACTCGGAAGAATCTTGGCCATGGGAATGTTTTTTTGCTTGGTACCAGAAAGCACTCAGGTGAGAGAACAAGCATAGGCTTCTAATTTATTCATTCATTATACACGTTAGCTAGTGGGAAACAACTCAGCTACTACACCGAGAGACATAAAACAAAAAAGGGAAAAGGAAAAACATTGCAACAGATGCACGCTAACTGAGCTACCAGTAATGGATGGGCATCGTTCCGGTAAGCTATCAGCCAGCTACTATGGAGAAAAAATTAAGGTACAAAATTAAATTGGACTACGAAGTGAGAGCGTTGTCGTAGGGCAGAGTATGAGGAACGGGTGGGATAAGAAAACTCACAGCACGAACGTCCATGAGGTCGGCTCCTAGCCATGTCAGCAAGTGTATCCAACCAGACGTGTTCATCGTCTTTCGGACCCCAACCAGGGAGTCGAGTCGAAGCAACCGACGCCAGCTCCAAAGAGAAGGCCCTCATTCCTCACGACCAAATCATCCGTTGACCACCTCTCCTCTTAGTCCATCCACACCCCCGGCGCGCAAACAACGCACATCGTGGTAGCCGATGGCCTGACATGCGTAACAGGTGGCCCAGCCATCGGAGCCTGGTGCGTGAAATAACGGTGCTGAGCGATTCATTTCCTTTTCCTGTGCCATACACAAGGCGTCGAACACGCTCGTTACTCACGCGGTGTTCCCACCAGATGTGAGCCAAACTGCGAAGGCACCGGTGGTCGAAAATAACTAGCCTCATTATGTCGGTTAATCTAAGGGGCCAGGTTTCATAACCATATTACTTAAGGTCGAACGTACCGCTGCATTGTACACTCTACTCTCCAGTGCGAGAGTAATGTCGCCTTGCCCCCATAGGTGGCGAAGACTAGCAAACGCATTTCAAGCTTTTGCTATACGGTTCGTGATCTCGTCTCCAATCCCCCGGACGCTGACAAAACTTCTCAGGGATTTGAGTTTTTAAATGACTTCTAGCTGATCCTCACCAAGAGTCAGTGCAGGAGGTGGTCCAGGCCAATCTTGGAGGAACGCTTTGCACTTCGATGGTGCAAACCAAAGCCGGAAGTGGCTAACAGCCAGAGCTAATCTGTACAGAGCCTATTGGCACGTTTGTGAGCTGCTACTTCTTTAGGCGCTATTGCATTCCGGAGGAAATCTCCCTAAATTTTCGAGATTCTTCGCGTCATTCTAAAACAAACCCTTTCACTTATTAGCTGTATAGCTCTTATGATTTACTGTGAATTTCTCGAGGCAATCAGAGCCCTGCAAAAGTAAACAAAAATGGAACACCTGCACAAAAGAATGTCCATGACAACCTTAGCGACTTAGCATTAGGAAACAGACCCGCTATTGCTGCATTGGATGTTTTTTGAATTTTGGTCACTAATGCTCCCTAGATCAAGCGTGATAAACTGTGGGCTCCCGAGAGTCTCATGGGTCAAGCTGTGCAGTCACCAGAGCTGTACATGATAACCAATTAAAGTTTTATACCTATACTTAGTTACTACTCTATATTTTTAGTTCAACACTTCATCAGCATACACTGTGTATACAAATGCGTTAGATCTAAAAGTCGGAAGTAGTTAGAAGAAGTGAAAATGACATTTTGTTGGAAAAGTGATGCAATAATACTAAAAATGAAGTGCTTACCAAGCCCCGTGAAATATAAAAAATTTAGAAAAGAATGTTTGTTGGTTGTACGAAAAGTATTTTCGTGTATTCAGCATGATGTTCGCATTGAGATATGTGCCAAAATTTCCATATGTTTATAAGATAATATGTATAAATCGAGCTAGTTAGAACTTTGGAAACGCACCATTTAGTTGCTTTAAATATCACCGGCTAACACAAATTATTAAGGAAATTGCGAATAGAGCAATGCTTCGTCAGTTGTTTTGTTAAATATCGTTAAGTTGAGGGCAGAGCCAACATAAGTTGGGAGGGCTTTACACGGCTGACACACATGAGGGAGAATTAATGCATACGACATTCCGTTCGGCTATACTGTATTGTTAACTTCAAAGAAGAACCTCTTAGATTGATGTGGTGCTTCTGTTCCAGTAGATGGCAAATTTTGTTTGGGTTCTGCAGGTGCTGCTAAACCATCATGAGGTCTCCGTCGATATCAAATGTTATACATTTCTAAGGCCTTCAAGCTAAGCTGATAGGGCAGATGGAAGGATACTTTAACGTTGTTAGATGCCCCTCATTGAGGAGTCCCGAGAGCAGCAAGATGTTGTTTCTGCCACAGGTGCCACGCTTGGCTGGCGCATTCCACTTACGGTCGCACATAGGTGTTAAGTATTTGTTAGCAAGTTGCGGAGTGAAACAAACCGAACCTTCTGTAAAGAAGGCCGGCGTGTTCAATACCTGTCCTGGAAGCTTTCTTGGATGGTTTCGAATAACCTAGACTTGTATGCCACTGCAATAAAATCCCTGTACAAAATTGACATTTGTTTAAAAATGGATAGTTTTTTTAGGAGTACTAATTTACTCGTGGTGATTTGTCCGGAAGCTTGATATCCCATTTTAATGACTGTCTATTTTTGGCTAAGCTGTCTGTGCAATTCCGAAAAACGTTGCTGAGTCAGTCCTGTTCTATCAGAAGTTCCAGTTGATTTCACAATGGGAAACAACTGTTCACAAGCTTAGGGATAACCGAAACACCGCTATGACTCAGGTGGAGAATTTAAATTGTTCAATAAGGCACAAGCAGAAAACAAGCACCACCACTTCAGGACTTCAGTCGACAGCAATGCTAAATGACCAAAGTATGTCAGTGGTGCAGGGTGCAGATATGCTTGCAAAAGTCGTTTGTGGCCCACAGGCCGCCAGTTTTACATGCCTGCTCCATGTACTGTTTTCGGCATACCTGTGGAGTAATTACCACAAACTCTCTTGTTCGTCAACAGTACGTCCGTCTAGATGTCACCAGTGCATGCTGCTTGTGACATGGCAAATCGGTAAGGGGAAATCGGCTGATTACCTGACTCTGGGTCACGGAATCGACCCTAGCAAAGTAAGGAAGTCCTTCCTAGGAAGGCGCATTTTGAATGCCGCTTGTGATTTCGCATCCAACCAGTCGGATCCCAATACCGGCGGAGCGTCCAATGCACGGAACCAAAATCAGGCGAAATTTGGCCGTGTGATCGGGTACGCCAGCTGTTTTTGGAGCTATCGAGGGATAAGGCATAAGTACCAAGTTATAGATGCTTGTATCTAAAATCGCTCATAGGTTTTCATTATGATGTTCTCTCAATTTTAAACGGGATTTATGCAAATCTTTAATTTTAACTATGCTCATTTTAGTATAGCATTCTCTGCTTTAAGTTTACTTTTTTTAATTAATTTTATTATATTATAAGTATCTGCATAATCCTTGTACTACTTTGCTGCTACAGTGCTGTTTTAAAGAACGCTAATCGTACAGCGCTTTTCCTCCATTCCATATGATGGGCGCTCCCTCATACTGGCGATTGTGGCGGTTGGCAAACTTTTTCTTCTGGTTTACCTTGTATTTTGTCTAACTTGTGGCAATCGTATTAAACGTGTCCACATACGCCCCGGAAACTGAGTTCCTAACACCTTCACCATTGAATCGCAATTCACAACGGGAAAGGAGCTGAGTTGTCGTTGGTTACACCAAGTATTTCATGCCGCATATTTCTCCTTCAACTGAGAAGGGAGACTCATAAAAGAGTGGGTCATAATTTACCTAGTTATCACTAGCATGATTGTGAAACAGTACGAACGGTGAAATTTGGACCGAAATGCAGTATGAGCATGTTGACTGTAATCTGCTCTTGAGGCAGCAGTTAGACGCGTCTGCATCAATCTTCGCTGGCTGTTTGAGTTGGCTCATGAAAAGAAATAACTAATAGAGAAAATCAAGAGTGGCAAGAAAGTGGCAAAAGTTTTCGCTAAATAATATTGAAGACCGGTTCAAATCAAATTAGACGTTAGTAAACGGTACCTCCTGATACACTGAAAAAGATAGGAAAAAGAATGTCAAGAAACACCGCACATCTGTGAGCATGAGGCGGAATTTATATGTATGTGTATTAAAGCACTAGTTGGAAGTTAATGATAGTTAGAAAGTAAACTTAACTGAGTCAGTAGCAAAATGTGAGGCATACTGCAGACAAACAGTCAACCTGGTGTTTTTCATATAAGCATTTTATGCACTAATGAGAATTTTGAGCACTGCTAATTTTCTTAGACACAGTTCATTCAACACAGTCTCACCAAATGGTCTAAACAGCCGATTTACATACGTTTCTCCAGGTACAAATAGCTGGCCTTTAGAGTCGCCCGATAAAGTCCATGCGTGTGATGGGTAGCGAACAGATGTGCTGCTTCAACGCTGGAGACGGAGCAATGGGGACTTCGATGACACAGGGAACTTGCGCTTATCCAAACATATCGCACATTCATGACAGTTGTTTCGGGGCTAATTACACTCGGCGCCTTGTTTTAGAAGCTTTTCAATAAGAGTTGATGTGCTTTTACTAACGACTGTCATTATATTCATAAGAGTATTGCCACTAGGTCAATGCAGAAATGAATGCCACCAAATACGATTCCAGCCTTTCGTAGCAGGGTTCACGGATAGAGCCACCTAGATTGGTGCTGAGATGTTTATTTTCTGGCCTCAGCTTGCTGCCTACGGTATCAACGGTTCCCTGTTCACCTGGTTAGAAGAGTACTTACACGACAGAGCAATCAAGGTAAGAGTAGCCGACACTTATTCTGAAAGCCTTTGCGTCTCCAGTGGTGTATCACAAGGATCTGTCCTCGGCCCGCTACTGTTATTAGTCTACATCAATGACCTTCCAGCAGACATTCTATCTCCAATGCAAATAGTTGCAGACGATGCTTAAATATGGAGAGCAATTCGCTCAGCATCCGACCGTGTCCACCTCCAGGAAGATCTGACCCGGATTAACGAATGGGCAGAAAGGAACTAGCTCCCACTGAACCCTGCAAATTGCCACCTGCTGACGGTGCGCAGCAGCTTCGTCAACAACTACCTTTTGGGGCAA